ATCTCTGATGTCTCAGACTTTAAAAATCCTGGATTTGCGAAAAATTATCATTCGTGTACGACAAAACACTTCCGAATCCGACATCTGTGAATGTCATACCAGATAAATGAAATGAGATTTTTGAGATAAGTATTCATTAACGTTAATTTTGTCTTTCCATATATACAAATCTAGTTATTTATATTCTTCTTCGAACATTCCTTCATGAAAAAGCGACTCCTATCGATTCACTAAATTCATTTTATCTGTCGAATAATTATTCGACATTCAATTATGTGAGTGTATGGAATCACGTCAGGTACCCTTACGAGGGGAGAGTATCAACTTTGGCGTTCGTAATGCCTCTCTACAAAGGACAGTGTCGCCTTCAAGAGTTAGGTATGAACAGTGGTTTTATACCAGTTTTTTCCAAATTCATCAGGCACTATGGAAAAGCAACAGTCGTTGTTTTAATGAAGCAGTGCTCTCAGAAGAGTGGAACCATGTTCCATATGTGATATAATGTAACATATGGCTCAATAAGAAACAAATAATACTAATCCAAGGTTTTTTTTTCAGAATATTCCAGGAACAGTGAAAATTATTGCAGATTTCTCAGAATCTTAGGAGAATTTCATATCCGTTTGCAGAACTATTCACTTTGGAACAGTTAGATAAAGTGAATAGAATATAGAGCAATCAACAGAACGTAATACTAATCAAGTTTTTTTTAGGATATTCCTGGAACGATGCAAACTATCTCTGATTACTAAGAATCTTGGAAGAATTTCATATTCGTTTGCATCCACTATGGAACAGATAGATAAAGTAAATAGAATATGGAGCGATCAACAAAACGTAATAATAATCAAGTTTTGTTTTAGGATATTCCTGGAACGATGCAAACTATCTCTGATTACTCAGAATTTTGAAAGAATTTCATATTCGTTTGCATTCACTTTGTAACAGATAGATAAAGTAAATAGAATATGGAGCAATCAACAAAACGTAATACTAATCGAGATTTTTTTTGGATATTCCTGGAACGATGCAAACTATCTCTGATGTCTCAGACTTCAAAAATCCTGAATTTGCGAAAAATTATCATTCGTGTACGACAAAACACTTCCGAATCCGACATCTGTGAATGTCATACCAGATAAATGAAATGAGATTTTTGAGATAAGTATTCATTAACGTTAATTTTGTCTTTCCATATATACAAATCTAGTTATTTATATTCTTCTTCGAACATTCCTTCATGAAAAAGCGACTCCTATCGATTCACTAAATTCATTTTATCTGTCGAATAATTATTCGACATTCAATTATGTGAGTGTATGGAATCACGTCAGGTACCCTTACGAGGGGAGAGTATCAACTTTGGCGTTCGTAATGCCTCTCTACAAAGGAGGGTGTCGCCTTCAAGAGTTAGGTATGAACAGTGGTTTTATACCAGTTTTTTCCAAATTTATTAGGCACTATGATGGAAAAGCAACAGTCGTTGTTTCAATGAAGCAGTGCTCTCAGAAGAGTGGAACCATGTTCCATATGTGATATAATGTAACATATGGCTCAATAAGAAACAAATAATACTAATCCAAGGTTTTTTTTTTCAGGATATTCCAGGAACAGTGAAAATTATTGCAGATTTCTCAGAATCTTGGGAGAATTTCATATCCGTTTGCAGAACTATTCACTTTGGAACAGTTAGATAAAGTGAATAGAATATGGAGCAATCAACAGAACGTAATACTAATCAAGTTTTTTTTAGGATATTCCTGGAACGATGCAAACTATCTCTGATTACTAAGAATCTTGGAAGAATTCCATATTCGTTTGCATCCACTATGGAACAGATAGATAAAGTAAATAAAATATGGAGCGATCAACAAAACGTAATAATAATCAAGTTTTGTTTTAGGATATTCCTGGAACGATGCAAACTATCTCTGATTACTCAGAATTTTGGAAGAATTTCATATTCGTTTGCATTCACTTTGTAACAGATAGATAAAGTAAATAGAATATGGAGCAATCAACAAAACGTAATACTAATCGAGATTTTTTTGGATATTCCTGGAACGATGCAAACTATCTCTGATGTCTCAGACTTTGAAAATCCTGGATTTGCGAAAAATTATCATTCGTGTACGACAAAACACTTCCGAATCCGACATCTGTGAATGTCATACCAGATAAATGAAATGAGATTTTTGAGATGAGTATTCATTAACGTCAATTTTGTCTTTCCATAAAAACAAAACTAGTTATTTATATTCTTCTACGAAGCTTCCTTCTTGAAAAAGCGGCTCCTATCGATTCACTAAATTCATTTCATCTGTCGAATAATAATTCGACATTCAATTATGTGAGTGTATGGAATCACGTCAGGTACCCTTACGAGGGGAGAGTATCAACTTTGGCGTTCGTAATGCCTCTCTACAAAGGAGGGTGTCGCCTTCAAGAGTTAGGTATGAACAGTGGTTTTATACCAGTTTTTTCCAAATTTATCAGGCACTATGGAAAAGCAACAGTCGTTGTTTCAATGAAGCAGTGCTCTCAGAAGAGTGGAACCATGTTCCATAAGTGATATAATGTAACATATGGCTCAATAAGAAACAAATAATACTAATCCAAGGTTTTTTTTTCAGGATATTCCAGGAACAGTGAAAATTATTGCAGATTTCTCAGAATCTTGGGAGAATTTCATATCCGTTCGCAGAACAATTCACTTTGGAACAGTTAGATAAAGTGAATAGAATATGGAGCAATCAACAGAACGTAATACTAATCAAGTTTTTTTTAGGATATTCCTGGAACGATGCAAACTATCTCTGATAACTAAGAATCTTGGAAGAATTCCATATTCGTTTGCATCCACTATGGAACAGATAGATTGAGTAAATAAAATATGGAGCGATCAACAAAACGTAATAATAATCAAGTTTTGTTTTAGGATATTCCTGGAACGATGCAAACTATCTCTGATTACTCAGAATTTTGAAAGAATTTCATATTCGTTTGAATTCACTTTGTAACAGATAGATAGAGTAAATAGAATATGGAGCAATCAACAAAACGTAATACTAATCGAGATTTTTTTTGGATATTCCTGGAACGATGCAAACTATCTCTGATGTCTCAGACTTTGAAAATCCTGGATTTGCGAAAAATTATCATTCGTGTACGACAAAACACTTCCGAATTCGACATCTGTGAATGTCATACCAGATAAATGAAATGAGATTTTTGAGATAAGTATTCATTAACGTTAATTTTGTCTTTCCATATATACAAATCTAGTTATTTATATTCTTCTTCGAACATTCCTTCATGAAAAAGCGACTCCTATCGATTCACTAAATTCATTTTATCTGTCGAATAATTATTCGACATTCAATTATGTGAGTGTATGGAATCACGTCAGGTACCCTTACGAGGGGAGAGTATCAACTTTGGCGTTCGTAATGCCTCTCTACAAAGGAGGGTGTCGCCTTCAAGAGTTAGGTATGAACAGTGGTTTTATACCAGTTTTTTCCAAATTTATCAGGCACTATGGAAAAGCAACAGTCGTTGTTTTAATGGAGCAGTGCTCTCAGAAGAGTGGAACCATGTTCCATATGAGATACAATGTAACATATGGTTCAATAAGAAACAAATAATGCTAATCCAAGGTTTTTTTTTCAGGATATTCCAGGAACAGTGAAAATTATTGCAGATTTCTCAGGATCTTGAGAGAATTTCATATTCGTTTGCAGGACCATTCACTTTGGAACAGATAGATAAAATGAATAGAATATGGAGCAATCAATAGAACGTAATACTAATCAAGTTTTTTTTAGGATATTCCTGGAACGATGCAAACTATCTCTGATTACTCAGAATCTTGGAAGAATTTCATATTCGTTTGCATTCACTTTGGAACAGATAGATAAAGTAAATAGAAAATGAAGCAATCAACAAAACGTAATACTAATCAAGTTTTTTTAAGGATATTCCTGGAACGATGCAAACTATCTCTGATGTCTCAGAATTTAAAAATCCTGGATTTGCGAAAAATCCTCATTCGTTTGTACGACAGAACACTTCAAAACTCTACATCTGTGAATGTCATACCAGATGAATGGAATGAAGGGATTTTTAAGATAAGTTTTAATCAACGTTAAATTTGTCTTTCTATAAATACAAATCATAGTCATATTCTTCTTCGAACAAGCGGCTATTATCGAATCACTAAATCCATTTCATCAGTCGAATAATTAGTCGACATTCAATTATGTGAGTGTATGGAATCACGTCAGGTACTCTTATGAGGGGAGTGTAACAACTTTGGCATTCGTAATGCCTCTCTACAAAGGAGGGTGTCGCCTTCAAAAGTTAGGTATGAACAGTGTTTTTATACCAGTTTTTCCAAATTTATCATGCACTATTGAAAAGTAACAGTCGTTGTTTTAATGGAGCAGTGCTCGCAGAAGTGTGGATCCATGCTTTCTTCCAAATGTGATACAATATAACATATGGCTCAATGAGAAACAAATAATTCCAATCCAAGGTTTTTTTTCAGGATATTCCAGGAACAGTGAAAATTATTGAAGATTTCTCAGAAGTTTTCTCAGAATCTTGGAATAGATTAATGAAATGAGGAGATTTTCAAGATAAGTTTTCATAAACGTTGAATATGTCTCTCCATAAATTCAAATCATACTTCTATTTTTCTTCGAACATTCCTTCGTAAAAAAGCGGCTTTCATTGATTCACTAAATCCGTTTCATCAGACGAATAATTAGTCTACATTCAATTAAGTGAGTATATGGAATCACGTCAGGTACCTCAGGTTACGAGGGGAGTGTATCAACTTTGGCCTCACTACAAATGAGGGTGTTGCATTCAAGAGTTAGGTAGAAACAATGATTTAATACCAGTTTTTTTTCAAATAGGGACGATAACGAGGAGAGAAAATCGCAAAATATCTAGATAAACAAGAAGAATACCTTCTCAGGCACATGAAAGTTGCTCACCTTCAACAACATGAACTTGTTCAACGGATCGTACCACTGCATCAGGTATATCCCAGTCACTGTGGCCCCGCACAGGTACTTATACCCGTTGTACGGGTTCCTGGCCACACAGCACCTCAAAGTGCCTCGCGTGTCAGGCACTCGCGTCGTCAGCGCGAACTTGCGCGGCACTAGCCTCTCAGGCATGCGGTTCATGTGCAGACTGAACCGGTGCGATTGCTTGTTCTGCAAGGCCAAGAGGTCGTGCCTGTACAGCTGCGGAGTTTTACCTGGAAGCGACAATGGAAAAAGTATGTAGATCGATCCGAAACGATAAAGAATGCACGAAAGTGCAATGGGGGACTTCGCTCCAAGTTGCCAACCTAAAAACCTCTACCTCTGTAGAAGCAATATTATTTATTTATTTATTTTTATTTATTTATTGAACAAATAACTTCCAGACAGAATAGGCTCTGGTATAAGGAAGTACATAATTATATACCTATAGGTAAACATATCATTATACAAAATATATCAACAACTGTGAATTGACAAACAAAGAATAATATTTGTAAAAAAAATGGCATGTTCAATTTTATCCAGTTCGCTCAGATATAATCAATTTTTTCACTTCATTTTTGAATGAACCTATATTTCTGCAATTTTTTATATTGTCAGGTAGTTTATTGAATTCAGTTAAGGCTGAATGAGTGAATCTTTTTTGTCCGATAATGGAGCTAGCGGCGTCAAGATGAAACAAGTTATATTGTCTTGTTTCATGATTATGAATTTCAGAATTCCGTATCAACATAAAATTCGACTTCAATTTTTTATTTATGATATTATATGATATTTTGAGAGTTTCAATTCTATATATTTCATCTAAAGAATACGTATTTGTTATTTCAAACAATTGATTGGTTGGTGTATCAAATGGGAGACGATACAATACTTTTAACGATTTTCTATATAATGTTGATATTTTATTGAAATTGTTCTTTGAACAAGTTCCCCAAACATTTATTAAATAGTGGATACGACTCAGTATATGAGAGTAGAGAATCATGTTTGCAATTTTAATATCAAGTTTGGGACATCTTCTCAATGCACCAATAATTGGAGATATTTTTTTTGTCAGAACATCAATATGTTTGTCCCACTTCAACCTGTCATCAAACCAAATTCCAAGATATTTTATCTGGTCAGTTTGTTTCAAGAGTTCATTTTTCATTTTAAGGTTGAGGTAAATTTTTTGTTTATTTTTTTGGTGAAAAATCATGTATTCTGTTTTTTTAGTATTTATCGATAAAAGGTTAGAGTGGAGCCATTTTTCAAATATTTTCAAGTCTTCATTTATCATATTTTCTAAATTTGAAGGATTCTTGCCTTCATATAAAAGTACTGTATCATCTGCATACATGGTATATTTACTCGTGAGACCAATTTCACTGATATTATGAACATAAAGTAAATATAGTATAGGTCCTAAAACAGAGCCCTGTGGGACACCCTTATTGATTAATAGTTTATTATGAAAGTTTGATTACTCAAATAGCTTTATTTTGGTCCTATCTGATTGTAGGCGTCTACTCAGCTTTCTAATGAAAGTTATTCAGAAGAAAGATTAGTTTTTGTGAACTCCACATCTGACTGGTTGAAAATCATGTTGGTGCATCTGCGATACGTCAATACTGAAATGTCAATACTTTCAATAGTGTCTATAGTTGCGTTTCATTTGTTCCATTCTGGTAACAGTGGTGGGACCAGAATGACGTTTACAAATGAAACGAGAGACTTCATGAAGAAAATGAATTAACGCATACTTGGAGCAGTGATTGTGGTGATTGGAGGTAGTTCACTGAGATCGAGAGAATACATTTCATCTGGGAATGAAGATATGAAACCTGTCTTATTTATTTATTTATTGAACAAATAACTTCCAGACAGAATAGGCTCTGGTATAAGGAAGTACATAATTATATACCTATAGGTAAACATAACATCATTCAAAATATATCAACAACTGTAAATTGGCAAACAAAGAATAATATTTGTAAAAAAAAAGGCATGATTAATTCTATCCAGTCCGGTCAGAAATAATCAGTTTTTTCTTCATTTTTGAATATACCTATATTTCTGCAATTTTTTATATTATCAGGTAGTTTATTGAATTCAGTTAAGGCTGAATGAGTGAATCTTTTTTGTCCGATTAGGGAGCTAGCGGCGTCAAGATGAAACAATATTGTCTAGTTTCATGATTATGAATTTCAGAATTCCGTATCAAAATAATATAAGACTTCAATTTTTTATTTATGATATTATATGATATTTTAAGAGTTTCAATTCTATATATTTCATCTAAAGAATACGTATTTGTTATTTCATACAATTGATTGGTTGGTGTATCAAATGGGAGACGATACAATACTTGAAAGAATCATAAAAATGTCTTCTACTTCAACATGGCCTTGATTAGACATTCCTTTGTGCAAAATGAATAAAAGAACACATTTTCAGTTTATATGAAGATGATAAATTTAACAGATTTTTTGGTTTGTAAAGACCAATAGTTGGTTCCAGGTAATGTAAATTGTAAATGCACTCAATTGTTTCATTTTGTAATTTCATTAATGGTTTCAAATGTGATATATTTGTGTTTCCCAAAATTGATATTAAATATTGTAATTTTGAGTAAATCAGACAGAAATATATATTCTTCAAGTATCTAGGAAGAATGAAATTTCGAATTTTGTATAAAATGTCAGTAATTGGATTTTTTTTTCAGGTGATCTATATGTTTAGCCTATGATAATTGTTCATCAATAAAAGACCTAAGAATTTTGCTTCTGCAAAGTTTCTTTGTTTGGAATACTGAACCACTTCGGAATAGCAGGATTTCAACAAAATCAGTGGAATCACTCACAATGTCGGTAGTTCCATCCGGATTATAGCTTTGCACAACAATAACTCAATGCTACAATCAATACAAATGAACCAGAAAGATGATTTGCTCACCTGACAGTGTCATGAGGACGTCCTTGATGACATACATCCACACCGTCCGCCTGTTGTACAACTGATCGATGGCGGTCTCGTGCAGCTCGTTGAGGTTGAGGTTGTAGATGCCCTCCTCGGCACCTATGAGGATGTGCTGATCGCGCGTGTCCGGATTAATCCAGGACGCTGTGCAGTGGATTCTCAAGGGGCAACCGTTGAAAACCTAACGCGAAAAGCATAGTCGTCAATTCATTATTTGAAGTTGTATAATCCAAAATCGAAGGTGATTTTTCTCACTTGATACAGCTATTCGATGATCCGGCTCGAAGGACCAAGTCGTATTTTGTTCACAGAAATATAAGGCTAGTTCCCACTAGAGTTCCTAAATGTCCTTGACACTGCTGTTTTGACGTTTTTTGTATATTAGAGTGCGGACGTTATGACAAGCACTGACAATCAGACATTACCAATAATAAACTTATGGAAAAAGCGAGAACTGACAGTACATGGACGTACATGACATACATTTTAAAGGTTTGACAAATTGAGAGAATTAGGAGAAATATGCAAGTTTGTGCAGTTTCCAACTGTGAGAACACGGAAAATTAAATCGCTCTATTCGAATTTCCATCGGATAACGTAATTCTACAAAAATGGAAACATAATATGATGCGGCCGGCATGGAATATAGGTTCAGGCCACTAAATTTGCGAGGTATTCAAATTTCTTGGTAGGATATAGAACATTTTTCAAAGCATTTTTATCAGGTACACTTCAGAAGGGAAGATTTGATGTTGAAGAATAGAATCGTATTGAGAGAAAGAGCGGAACCCACAATTTATAAACTGAGCGAATATCGACAAGAACCTTATTCCAATTTAGAACCAACAAGAAACGAAAAACTTGCAGATAATGACATATTCTGAAAGAAAAAGTCTTGAGAATCGAATTTTTAGAGCAGGAATACTCAAAAATCCAAGGTTTACGAGTGGAAGAGAGTGAGTAATTCAGGAAACAAATAGAAGAAAAGAATAGAGAGTTGGAAAATTAGTTGAAGCAAAGAGATTTAGATACAAAAGTCAGAGTTAGCAAAATTCATAACTATTACCTAAAAATTATTTCAGATTTGAAACAAAATTTTATTTATTTTTATTTCAGTTATTGCATTACATTCTCTTCTTCATTGATACATTTCATACAAATAATATATAAAGTATAATTAATTTTCTAGTAGGAATGACATGAATGATCACACAGTAATTCCTGGTATAAGATCATTAATGAAGTATTATCGGCTGTTGTATAATTGGAATTACAAATAGTGAACAAAACTTACATATCATTAAGATACAGTCATATTATAGTGAACAAGAAGGGGAAAAATAAAAACAGTGAAAAAGAAAAAAGGAAATTCATAGTCTTTCAGCTTTGATCATTCCTTTGCATATAAATATATTTCTTAACTTTATTTTTGAATTGCATAATATTTGGGCTGTTTTTGATATCATCTGGTAATTTATTGAATTTCGAAATCGCCTCATGTGTAAACTTTTTTGCCCAAGTTTAGAATTTGCAGCTTCAAGATGAAACAAGTTATATTGTCTAGTGTGATGATCATGAATTTCGGAATTCCTGATTAAGATAAAATTTGATTTAAGCTTTTTGTTGATAATATAATAGGAAATTTTTAGAGTATTGATTAAAAAGTGCTCTTCCAAAGAAAATGTGTTTTGTTTCCTTATACAGTTGATTCGTTGGAGTATCATATGGAAGACGATACAATACTTTCAATGCCTTTTTATATAGGACAGAAATTTTGTTGAAACTATTTTTGGAACAAGATCCCCAAATATTAATGAGATAGTTAATTCGACTGAGTAAAATTCATAGTTTCGATGAACAATACTATGAAAAACTTTTGCATTCGAAAAACCGGATGAAAGATTTGAATAACAAATTGAATAATATTAGTAAAAATCTATAGTGAGTCGAGCGCTGGAGTCCATTTATACCTACTTCCGTATGTCCGTATGCACTCTCATACAAAAATCAAAGGCAGAGAAAGATATATGGATGTACTCTTCCCAGGACTTGTGGAGGAAGGAAGATGCAAGGATCCTTTATCTAAGCAAGCGAAAAATATATTCTTGTCCTTGTCTGGCAAAACATATGATTTGCTTCAAAATCGTTTGTGGTTATGTTTGATTGTCACTGCTTGTCTAGTGTCCGTACTCTAATATACAAAAAACGTCAAAACAGCAGTGTCGAGTACATTTAGGAACTCTAGTTCCCACTCTTCAGCTAAATTGATATCGTTGGGAGTTTTCCGTTGTTTCATTGGAAATGGGATGTCTTTACCAATTTGAAATGGATCAATCCCGATTCGAAGTTCAAAAGGATTTGATTACGTAGGGATTTTTTCATTATTTCTGTCTTGGAACAGTAATAAGTTTACCAAATTTTTTTATACATCCCAATTTGAAGTTGAAGAGGTATAGATCTCGTTGGAAATTTTTCCGTAGTATTACCTTGGAGAAGCAGGCGCCCATGTGAACTTTGGGAGTGGGAGGCAAACCGTTGCTAGGAGGTCTCGGGGGCGTATGTCTCCGTCTGTGCTTTCTGGGAGGTACCGGCGGACACGTGACCAGGTCCGTGTTGCCTGATTCGTGGTTGTTGGATCCGCCTTCAGTTCCTGTGACAGGATAATGAAATTCAGCGAAACAGTGGCTTTGTACAACTATGGAAATTTTCAAAGCTCAATTACATCTTGATAGACAATCATTAGAATCCTTAGAAAATCAGTATTTTTTTCGCACTGAATCAGGACGCAAATATTATCGGCCATACCACAAATTGTTGGTTTACTGCATAATTTCACCAAGTTACATTTGCCATGCTTATTCAATAAATAAATGAACATATTAAACTTCTCAGTTTACAATTTTCATCAAGATAATTATTTTAAGACATGGTGTTAACAACGTTTTATGTTGTTTGTCGGTAAATTGAATTGAGTTAGATTCTTGGCAATGGCAAAATTTTGATTTCAAGCCAAAGATCTTCAAGCACAACAACACGAGGATATATTCATATAACTTGAATGATTGATTGTCTTTTTTACTCCAAGAAACATAGTTGTTTATAATAGGGATACATAAACAATATACATAATGTTATACATACAATTATGAAATTATGATAAGTTATAACAAGTAAAAAAAATGCAAATAATCATGCAATATCAACCTTGTCTTTTATAAGTAGGTATTCAAATAAGAAATGGAATTATCAAAGTCTCTGAAGCAGATATTTTTTCAAGTTAATTTTGAATCTAGTTGCTTCCTGCATATTCCTCAATTGACTTCATAATGAGTTGTATAGAATGATGATCTAATAAATCTCTAGGTTTGTATAAATTCATGGTCGGTTCGAGAAAATTTAAATTGAAAATACACTCAAACGTGAAATATTGGTACTTTCCCATATAGATATTAGGTATTGAAATTTTGAGTAAATAAGAGAGAAATAAATACTCTTCAAGTATCTAGTAGAAATGAAATTTCATTCAAAATATGCCTGTAATGGGATTAAGTTTGTTTCTCAAATCATCTATATGTTTATTCCACAATAGTCGTTCATCAATATAAAGACCTAAAAATTTTGTAACATCTGTATATTTGATGAGTTTATTGTTGAAGGATAGTGTTCTATTCGAAATGTTCAGTTTTCTTTTTGCTCTGTACACATATGAGGATTTGTTATAATTGAGAGATAGTTCATGAACTTGTAACCAAGAGGATATTTTCTCTCAATCACTATTCATGTCCATGACAATATTATTTGGATCTTTAGAGAAATAAATCAATGTCCTGTCATCTGCAAATAATTTAAGTTTTCTCTCAATTCTCAATTCCAAGTTTGATATTGAATTTATGTAGATTAAAAATAAAACTGGTCCCAAGACTGACCCTTGCGGTACACCGCATGAGATGTTTAATAAGGAGCTACAAGTACCACTCACATCAACATATTGTTTTCTATTTGATAGATAATTTTGGAACCAATCATGAATTCTTCCTCTGACATCAATAGCAAATAATTTATTTAATAAAATGTTGTGGTTGACAGTATCAAAAGCTTTGCATAGATCTAATGACAATAAACCGCATTGATCATTTTCATCGATTCGTTATTGGATATCTGAAATAACATCCATAACCGGCATAAACCATTACAGCTGGACCCCAAGTGTGATACATTGATGAAATCAGCTCTTCGGGGAGAATCTAAAAATACAATAAAATACATGGTGTTCCATTTGAAATAACAAAGTTGTTGCTTCTTTTCTCTAGAAGCGGCAACGCCGCAGGGCTGAAAATATTTTAGAACGATGTCCCCCTCGAAAATATAGTTGACGTGTTTCAGATTTTTTTTATAATCCGGTTTTGTTGACCTACAGAGCCTCTGTTTCGTTTTCAACGGCCCACTCTGTATAATGAAATCCAGAAGACTTTCGTACATCCAAGTTGTCAACAATATCTTCAATTTCCGAAATGCTGGGGGGTCTTAGGAACATAAATAAAACGCTTGAATGATCTACTACTGTGTCAGAAATCAATCTGGCGAACAATTCTATTTGAGCGGTGTCAGTGCTTCTCAAAGTGATTTATTCAAATCAGAAGAAGGTACTTCTGCTCATTACATTACTCACCGTTCACCTCCCGGTCCCTGCTCCTGCCCGTCCGGCTGCTGTCGCTCAACGACCGCTGCCGCGGCCCGTTCAAGGTCATCGACCCCACCAGCCCGAAGATCTCGTCGACGGACGAATGGCGACGCGGCGACGCGTTGAACGGCTGGTGGGCGTGGTCGGGCGAAGGGCTGGGGGGCGTGGCTTCGCTCTTGTCGCCGGCGTCGCAGTGCTCGAGCGGCAGGGTGGCCCTGAGGAGAGGGAAGGCGGTGTGAGGGCGAGCGTCGTTGTTTTGGAGGAGGTTAGTGCCGAGTAGAGTTCCTAAATGTACTTGACACTGCTGTTTTTACGTTTTTTGTATATTAGAGTACGGACAATTCGCGAGATTCACGAAGTGGGCGACATCTAGGTTTATATATCTTTATTATTATTCCCAAGAAACATACATGTTTATAGCAGGGAAAATTATGAAAGAGCAACTAAAAAAAAAAAAAAAAATTAGATAATCAGATAATCATTTTTAAATCATATACATAATACATATAATGTTGTTTCTTCTAGAGACTGTTAAATATAATTTCTTGAATTGATTCAGGAAATCAAACTGTTGTCTATGGATAAAGTGCATAGACTACATTGCATTCAGCTTGCTGTAACTGTAGTCAAACTTGTCAATGACATGAAGTGTTAGCACTGTTGGTAGTGATGATGGTTGAGTTGGTTGATTTTTTTACATTTTTATTAGTTTAGTGAACGGGTGAAGAATTGGAGATAGTTCAAACAATTCAAACTAATTATGACGAGCAAATCAATTGACATATAAAAGAACAGCTACAACATGTTTACAATACCCAGATTGTCCTGCTTTGCATGAACAAATACAAATCCATTGTTCTACAGGAGTTCCTCTGGACCCCAACTTCAATTTTACTTTATGTGGGGAAGTGCAAAAATGTGCTTTTTGTTGAAGTCTTCTGCCTCACACAAAATCACGACATGATTAGCACGGAGAACTGCTTCTCCTTCCACTACTGGTCGGCTTTTTCCATCTAAATAGAGCAAAATATCTGCCAAAAGAACATCTACAACAGGCATTATTATCGTTTTCGATCGAATATTGACAATTATTGTCAAGCAATTTGAAAACTTATCACTCTTACACAGTACACAAGCTAATGGTACTAATGGGATTGAGTTCGGATTGAGGTTGTTTTCCCCCAGTTTTGACGTGGCTTTGACATGGAACGATGAAAACCGAGCGCCACCTGGTAACACTGATTCCCGCGAATAGACAAGCAGTGACAATCAAACATAACCACAAACGATTTTGAAGCCAGGCAACGACAAGAATATATTTTTCGCTTAGATAAAGGATCCTTGCATCTTCCTTCCTCCAGAAGTCCTGGGAAGAGTACATCCATATATCTTTCTCTGTCTTCGATTTTTGTATGAGAGTGCATAGTGTCTCCTCGAGTGGGTAGAAGGGTACGATAAATTGAAATTATTTCTTTTCGAAATATTGAATGATAAGGCTGAAGGCCTCAATGGAGGTCGATATCAAGTTGGTATGTACATATATACCAACAAAATACATATACTTTTCCTATGAAATAAATCTCTCATGTAGGTACACATATATACGTTCAGTTGAATTTTTTATCACGAAAGTTCAGAATTTCATTATCTGCAAGTTTTTCGTTTCTTGTTGGTTCTAAATTGAAATAAGGTTCATTTGGATACACGCTCAGTTCATAAATTGTGGGTTCGGCTCTTTCTCTCAATACGATGCTATTCTTCCGTTCTGAAGTATACCTGATAAGAATGCGTTGAAAAATGTTCTATATCTTACCAAGAAATTCGAATACCTCGCAAATTTTGTGACCTGAACCTATATTCCTTGCCGACCGCATCATATTATATTTCCATTTTTGTAGAATTTCGTTATCCGATGGAAATTCGAATAGAGTGAATTGATTTCCCGTGTTCTCATAGTTGGAAACTGCACAAACTTGCATCTTTCTCGTAATTCTCTCAATATGTCAAACTTTTGAAATTTATGTCATGTACGTCCGTGCACTGTCAGTTCCCGCTTTTTCCATCAATTTATTTGTGGTTATGTCTGATTGTCAGTGCTTGTCATAGTGTCGGTACTCTGATATACAAAAAACGTCAAAACGGCAGTGTCAAGTACATTTAGGAACTCTAGTTCCGAGTAGAGAGTGGGCGAGTGGATTGAATTTCTTTTATAATTTTTTTAAACCTGCCGGGTCGGTTGAAAAACGAGTGTCGAGCATATACGTATTAATAATCAATACGGATAATCTCTATCTGTTTCCATAGCGAAACATGAAGCCGATTTTTGAAGACAAATGACTATCCATAAGGAAAAGTGAGATAGGATCAGACACATACTGCTTTGATTGAAAGGCTAGTAAACGTCATTGTCCACAGAAACGCATGTCTTTGATGACTACTATAATAGCGCATGGCGCATGCGTATCATGCCACCAAATCCTTATGGATATTCATTTGTTTCATATTTTTGGCTTCATCCTGGCACCCGTTATGATCCGTATTGCTTATTAATACGTATATGGTGTCGAGAAGAGTTTATAAACGCGTTACATACTATACTTCTTCTATCTTCGACAAGATCCCTTAATTGCGAACATTAGATTAACCCACAAAATAATTAGAGGGGAATGGGAATTGAGAACATAAAACTATGCAATTGCATGCAACCAACGAGAAACGTATAAGTGATATTGGTTGTAGTTGTGTCCAGTCCATGGGATACATGATGCTATAATAATGGCTTGCTAAAACTAACCATTGTGAATAAGTTTTCATCTGACGTAGAAGATAAAAACTCTTCGATTCCCTGAGGTATAAAAGTTTTCGATTTCTCAGGTTTGTATCCATATTCTGATTGCATAAGTTTTGCTGACATAAATATTGTGTTTTATCATAGGATAAATTGCCCACAAAGATGAGAGTTTCATTTTCACACAGAGTTCTTGAAAATATGCAAATACCTAAAACATTCTCTTTGGTTTCACATTTGTCGACATTTCGCATACATTCTGATATAAACAAAAATTGTTTGAATAATTCTGATTGTCACCGACTGCAACAAAATTCGAAAATGACAGTTGCCGGTTCCTATAATTGACAGGACTCAAGGACTTAAGGTGTGTTCAAAAACTGTGTTGCGATGGTGATGTGTTTAAGAAATTTTGTTGCCATGGTAAGGGTAATAGATCATTTAGCGTGGTACATATTCGTACGCTAACTGCCATTTTCGTTATGTGAATAGAAAGAATTTCGATCGTCAAAGAAATACGTCAAGAAGAACATTTAAAATTATCAATAGGTTCATACATGAATTTAATAAAGATAAGGAACAGAATCTTTGCATGAATAAGATTTTCAGTTTCTACACTCATAACCGATAAGAATATAATGTGTCCGCAAACACTACCTATTCGATGTACTACATATTTTTCAATGGAACTCACTATGTATTTTCAAGCTCACTATGTTTTTTTGTTTTTGACAATCTGACGCGGCATCGTCAAATTATCACATGAGAAATGCAGAAATCCACTACCGGTTGGTGAGGTTTCACGACAATAGCACTGTTGCTAGGCAACCAGCAATGTTGCTATTCAACCAGCATCGTTACTAGGAAACTAATAGTGTTGCTAAGCAAACATTAGCGTAACTAGGTACCAGTGAAGTTGTTAGACACTCTTAGTTTCAAGTATCTGAATTACTTCTTGTCATAAGAGACTGGAATTTAAACGTCAATTTCAGATTTTTTAAAATAATTACTTTATGATGATAGTTGGGGAGAAATTGTTCCACTTCCTTTGGTTTTCCTCAAAACCAGCCAGATATTATCCACATCTTCTTGAGCATTGTATACATTTTCATTTGATCCTTGATTTTCGACAGTTCTTTGTAAATATTACAAGTCAAAATAATACGCAATAAAAAAATACTTACCTAAATCAAAGTGATCAAAAACTTCATATATCACCAAAATAATATTTTCATTATTGTATTTATAATGAACAAATTCCTCATATATTGCATGGGACGTAATAACTAAACAAATTGAACCATTCACCCACTCAGTGCTTGGCCTTGATTGTAACATACTGCATCATTATTAAATTACTGTAACACATGCCAATCAATGTCCAACGATGGATGTTTAGGGAAGATCGACATTATTTATAAATAAATGCATGCAATACACACTGCAAGTGAAAATTTTGTCATTCCGTTTGAATAAAAAAAAACATGCAGAAACAATAAAATTGTAGGCTTCCAAGTTTAGAGGTAGACTACATTTTATGAAGCGATTGAACAAAAATTTTAATGAGTTCCCGATATGATGATCGCAATTCAAGTAACTAATAATTTTCAATGAATGATAAAGTAATAAAGTATCTGAATACCTAGCTACTATCGGACATCAATCAACACACTGAACTATACCTACTATAACGTAGAGTTCATCAATACAGAGCTTGACGTTTTGATATATTCAAGCGACAAGTAGTGACAGTCAGACATAACCTCTAATGATACTGAAACAGATCAAAAGTTTTTGTGAAAGAAGGATATGAATATGTTTTTCGCAGATATAACTAACTCTCAATTTGGTACGTAAATCATTCTGTTTCAATTCATTTTCCAACTCTCTATTCTCTTCTATTTGTTCCCTGAATCTTTTACTTTTTTTTTAGTGAAACTTAATTTTTTGAATATTTCTACTTCAAATTTTTGATTATTTCCTTATAAATCAATTGGTTGCTCTCGATATTCATCCTTTTTATCAATTAGAAGTAAGGTTTTTTTTCGGGTCTGAAGTGAACCTAATAGAAATGTGAAATAATATTCTATGTATATTTCACAAATAAACTTGAATTCTTCGTAATTTTCGTTGGTTGAATCTATATTCACAACGACAACTTTCTACTTGATAAAAATTCGAATAAAGTATATAAAGGGATATCCTGTAATGTTCACAGAACATCGTGAGAACCAAGGAAAATAAGGTAGGAATTGGTGTTTTTCTTAAATTTCTGGAGGTTATATGCCTCGAGGCTTTGGCAATGTGTTCCAGAGCCTCGCTGTTCGTTGGATGAACGAGTCTTTGGAAAGAGATGTTCTGCAGGTCTCCAAAGTGACCACGAAGGGGTGCGAAGCCTCAACTCGACGGGTTAATCTCGCGAGAACTGCCAAGGGAGAAACAATTGTTGATATTTCAGGAGAGCTTCGTCCATGAAAATATCTATAAAATAGAGCAAGCTCGCCAACTTTTCTACGGTGTTCCAGAGAAGTGAGTGAGTTTGTGAGCGAGGCATCACCCACGAGACGAATTGCCCTTTTTTGGACAGAATCCAACAGTTTCAGGGTATGTTTGGGTGCTGCCCTCCAAATATGGGAACAGTATTCCAGGACAGGTCGTATCTGTGCCTTATAGATCATAAGCAGCTGACTGGAAGTGAAATAGCTCCTGGCCCGAAACAGAAAACCAAGTTTTTGGAATGCACTTTTAGTAATTGATCTCACGTGATTTTCCTAAAAAAGGTTATTGCTGATAGTAATACCAAGCATCGAAATGGATGTCTTATGGTCGTCATGAACTGAACCGAAAGTCTTCATCATCTGAGTTCTTTCTTTCACATAAAAAGTAGGACAACATATTTCGACACTTTCAAATTTGTAAAAATATCCTAGTATGCCTAATAATGATCAAGATTTTATTTAAAACCAAAGCATTTTGTGGCACTGGCAACAGCGTAATGCCTCGAGTTCCTAGAAATACAAGAAGAAAAGAAGAAGACGAACTACATTGTTAACCTAACTTTCTAACGTCACCTTGATCTTGAAATCCTTGTTTCATCTTGTCAAGATGCGGATATTCAAAGATGTTCCTTTCATTATCTGACTCTTCAGTTGTATGTTGTGTTCTCTGTTATCTGTAGTAAGTATTCAGTCCAGAAAATTCACTATAGTCTAGGGCGAACACCTTCTGAGGAGGCTAACTTTTTTCATATTTTGATTGAAATGACAGACAAGGAGAATAGAGATACGTATGCCGAATTTTTTTTCGCGTTTTTCATGTTACGAAATATCGTGAATTTCAATAATTATTTAAAACATTCAAAGAGCTCTGGGGAAAAAACGGTTTGCGACAGTGAATTAGGGTTAGTACTTAATAATGAAATAACATTTTTCTGTGAAACAGGTCCATTGATTTCATGTACGTTCATGTATTATCAGTTATTTTTCTTCATCTATTCATTTGTGGCTATGTCTTACTGTCAGTGCTTGTCACAAGTATCCGTACTCCAAATATACAAAGGCTATATTCCGAATTCAACTGGTCAGTACTGCCATTGATCATTCTAGAACACGTGATTTTAACATGGTTTCTTGAGGGGCACACAAACTATCTGTTAGGTTACCTTTGATGAGCATATAGCCCTGGCCATCCCTGCCACATCCACAATATAATAACAGTTTCACCAAACAAAATTATGAAATTCTTTCTGGTTCCAACTCGGATTCCAAGGAAAACGATCCCACTAATTCTGGTTTTATATGACAAATCTTGACAAAATACAATGTTTGCCCCTCAGCAACCTGTCAAATGACGTAATTCTGGAATGATCCATTAGATCCACTGACTCTGCTGAAAATCTGTGTTCCGAAATATAAAATAAAAAATACAGTGCTGTAATTCGGAACACGTTTTCATGGTTTTCATCAGTAGTCAGCAGCAGTTAATCAGCTGGTGAAATTTATCAGTCTGAGTTTCTCGTTTAGCTGAACTAGATAATTTAGCCTCTTGCTTGACACACATTTTGGAAATTTAATATTCAACATGGAAGAGCAATCGGTTCTTGTAGCCTTCATAGTTTCTTCGATTGTTGACGATGACGATTCAAGCTCGAGTGATGAAGAATACTTGGACATTTATGTAATATGACATTGATGATGATTCATTTAGGAGACATTTCAGGTTTATTCAGGTATTGATTTACCCAATGCTGCTTCTTCTTTCGTTACCTCTCCTACTTCATACTCCATATTATTCTCATCGTTTATTATTTCGATAACGGGTATTTTCTGATATTGAAAATAATATAATTAACAACGGAAATAAATATTACACTCCTTCCCCCTCTAAAATAATGACAGTTTACTGAAGCCACACTACCTTTTGATACTCAGCAATTTCAGCAGAATGTTGAGTCGAAATATTTGGAATGAATAGTATATCTGCTCACAAGCATTTGTCACATTCAGTGATTTTTTTGATTTCGGAATGAAAAATCAGCAGATTCAGTACTGTCAGTTGAATTCGGAATATAGCCAAAAACGTCACAACAAAAGCGTCGAATCCATTAAGGACCTCTACCCTATCCTACCCTAGGGTCCCTTGATGGAAATTGACGTTAAAGTCATCTTAACAGGGTACGGACAGATCCTCGTCTCCTCTCACTCTAAAGTGTTTGTGAAACAGTTATATAGTTCCATCCTTATTCAATTCTGGGGATAAACACTAGATTTTTGACATTCGTGGTTTTTTAGGTTATATTGAGTTCACTGGCGTATCATACGTAATTCCCATATGGAAATCCTGATTAAACTATACCAAGATAAAGATGAACAATCCTCTAGTTTTAGAGTTTACTACTCCAGAATGATCTTTGTGAGGTAGGGAACATATAAATTGTACTGAAAGCGTAATACCAGGATGGTCAATGGTTGACTCGACTCCCATCAAAAAGAACGTGGTAACTTTGCGGGCAGGTTTGAAACGTGATCGATATTTCCAAACAGCTGGTTGGTCAAAGTGATAGTCAGACTTCATACTGAACGTATCTGCCCGGTCAAACCACAGACTTGACACAGCCTTAATATATTTCACCAAAAGAGACTTTTCTTAGAATGTATATACCAAGGTTGACTGAACTGACTAAATTAATTCTGATTTCAAGCTGAGCAGAAGTTTATCTATGAGCTGAATGAGCTGAGCCTTATGATTGAGAAATGGTGGAAACCTCGATGTGGGTATCTGAACTACTGTACTCATGTCATGTGTGCTAATTATATATTCGGAAATCCAATATGGAGAAGAATTAATGGAGTGACTAATATCACACTATGTATAAAACTTCGTCTGGGACGAAAAGTATGCTAATAGAAAGTAACACGTAAAATGTGCAGGGAAATAAACAATAGAATATACTTAACCACCATGTTGTAGTACATATGATTTTTCCGTCTCCCTCAAATAAAAAGTGATTTTCGAATAATTCATTGATGAAATTTTCAAAGAAGTAGGTATACGCAGTATGACTCATTGACACGTTATTTTCACTCTTGCACTCTACATACTTTCTATTTGTAGTGAAGTAATAATTATATAAACTCCGTCATCTTGAATTTTAAAATTTTGACGAAACAATCATTATCTTCTACCCCGAAAACCCCCAGATACCAATTTTGAATAGAATCGGATCATAATTACAAAACTCGTTCGCCATATGATCTTCCTCAACAAGTAAATACCCTGTACATACCTATTATTAAAATTTTGAATGATTTCCTGTAGCGCCCATGGATGTGACGTGACAGCAATGTCAGGGATGCCAGTAGACAAAACTAAAGTCTCTAGATCATTAAAAAAGAATCCAGCTATGATCTGTCCGTACCCTGTTAAGATGACTTTCAACGTCAATTTCCATCAAGGGACCCTATCCTACCCTACACCACTGTACTTTCTACAACAAATAACTTACTGTTGTTCGTAGTCCGTCTGGTGATATTTGTAGCTCCCCCTAAAACGATCAAACAACAAATGAACTACACTCGTCAAACGAAAAAAAAGATGCCACAACCCTCGTATTATGCCTTCACAAAGTCCTCAATCCCATTAGACAAGGTGTCAAACCAAAGCCGTGAGTCGAAGCGTTTCGAAAGAAAAAGTGCGGCACAACAGAAAAAAAAACAAGCTGAGTCGTGTGGAGGGTTAGGTTAGCTGATGAATTTTTTTGTTGAGAAATTACCTCATCATTAATTCTTCGTCAATGTACTGCAAAAGACTCCTGGATAACATACAACAAATTAAAAAATGTCTGAGTTGAGGATCTAAAGGTAAAATTAATTTCAAATTCAATTAGTTCATGAATTATTAGTGGATATTGTTATGTGTTAAATCACTACTTGATTTGTTAATGAAATCAAAAAACTCAGGACTATACTGTGTGTGACAAACTTCATACTGCCTGTAGAGGAATTTATATTGAGTTTAAGAAGTTCCTTTAACATAGCCTCTATCTTGATCTTGATTTCTACTCAGATAGCACTGAATAATCATAGACTTCACATTCAATAATCCGAAAGCATGATAGAAGAATATTTCTTAAGAAGGGAAAATAAAATATGAGTTTGCTGTGGCGATATTATAATATACAGGGTGACCCACGGTGGATGGCCTATTAGAAGTATCTGGAGAACGAAAAGACAACACATTCTGAAAATTGAGATGCTTTGATATTTGAACATTCTCTATCCGTCTAAAATATATTCATCGATACAGTGTTGCCACTTCTATCAGAAACAACTAGCAACTTTGTTATTTCAAATGGAACACCCTGTATTTTTTTTCGTTCCTAGATTCTTCTTGAAGAGCTGATTTCATCAATGTATCACACTTGGGGTCTAGCAGGAATTATTACAGAGATATAGAGTGTTCAAAATCGAGATTTTTCAATTTCAGGAATTTTTTGTGTCCAAACTATTCATTATCGATCAAAACGGCTTACATGTCCCTATCTTAACTTTTGATTCACTATCTACTGACATTTAATTGGAACAGATACAGGGTGATCAAAATTCTGAATCTTGGACCACCCTGTATTTTTCCAATTAAATTCCCTTTCGTGCGCTCCAATCGATAAAAAAAAAAAAGTTGAGATAGGGACATGTAAGCCGTTTTATGATCGATAATGAATAGTTTCGACATAAAAAAATCCTAAAATTGAAAAATCTCGATTCAGAACACCCTATATCTCTGTTATCATTTCTGCTAGACCCCAAGTGTGATGCATTGATGAAATCAGCCATTCAGGAAGAATAAAAAAAAGCAATAAAATACAGGGTGCTCCGTTCAAAATAACGAAGTTGCTAGTTGTTTCTGATAGAAGTGGCAACACTGCATCGATGAAAGTATTTTAGACGGATAGAGAATGTTCAATTATCAAAGCATCCCGATTTTCAGAATGTTCTGTCTTTAAGGTCTCCAGATATTTCTAATAGGACATCCACCGTGGATCACCCTGTATGTTATAATACGATTTACACTTATATTTTTTTATACTTCTTGGGCCTGTCCTATTTCATGTATAGGAACACAAAGGATGAATAAATATTCCATCATTTTTCTTTCTATAAGATAGAGGCCACGTTTATGGAAAATAGTCTTCTACACGCCTGTGAAGTTTGTCATATCAAAACTGGCAAACAAAAAAAATTACAGGGCGAGTTTCTTAGGACCAAACCATCAGAACAATGTTTCTTGATTTTGAAATAAATCTTGGAAATATTTACCCTGTAGAAATAATGGCAAAATTCAGTTTGGTCGGTGACTAGAATATTCTCACTATCTCAAAATAAAATAACACTCATCAACCTTACATGTGAAACTTTTTAGATGAAAATATGAAAGTTTCAAAATGAGTTACATTTTCAAAACCACCAACTTCTTTCATTAAAATGAATTAAAAAGTCTTCTAAGGCAGCTTGGTCCCGAAAAACTGAGTTACCCTGTATAGCACACCAAAATTCAGTATCAATAAGTTTTTCCAATGTTAATTCGGTAATTTAAATTTCAAATTAGCAATCTTTGTTTTTTGGCATAAAAAGCAAAACGAAAATTGGGCAAACAAATGCTCACAATGCAACATAATCAAAATCAAAATAATAACAAATTAAAATAAAAAAAAAACTATCCAATCACTCTTTTCAAAAAAAATCTAACCTCAATGACATTTTCAATAATTGCGATCCAGTCATAGCTTGCCTCTCTAAACTGAGAAAAAAATATATAAGCAACTATACTCAAGCTATGAAAAAAATACAACCCCAAAACTCGAAAATAGCAGATCCTGACTTTTTGTATGGTGAAAAAAAAAACTGTACTTTCATCAAGAAATCATCTAACTATATCCTAAAAATGAGCTGAACTGCTTGGATGTAAAATGATACTAACTTTTCTCTGTTAAGTGAATCAAAAGCGTTTCCTATACCACATTTTTGATTCTGATGCTCCACGCAAATATGGACACTGGTGACATTGTTCATAATGTCCATGACATCCCAAGGTTGTGATTTTTCTTCAACTATAACACTGGGTAATTCTGAAAAAAAAAAGTGTTTCTATGGATCTTTCACTAATAGTCCAATAAATGAAGGAGGAAAAAAAGGCAAAGTTAACGTTAATTACGCACTATTTTCATCTTCCGGTTGGAAGTAGCTTTTGGTAACTCATTAAACATGAGACAAAGTTTGACTGGAAAACGCGTGCAATGGCGGAGAAAATGGCCCCAAAATACCAGGAAAATAGGTTTTCAGCCAATATCTCCTAAAATAGGGCAGTTAGAGATTTTCGGTTCAGATAAAAATTGAAGTTCAGTTACTTTTCTACAAAAATTATCCTCATCATTTTTCTCGAAAATTTGCCCGGTTTCGAGAAAAACGACACGAAGCGCACCTCGAATAATGAGCTTCTGTGTTGTATGCCGGAGAGCACAGTCCGTGTATTTACACATCGGCGTGGGGACAAATTACTCAATAACTTTGTTAAAAATGCATATTTTCTCATGATTCAAAGTTCATGTGAAAGAGGAATTCTGCTGCTATCATACCCTGCGTGGCCGCATGGTTTGTAGCAGACGACCCGAGCGCCACGTAGAGCACACACGCGGCGAACGACGGAGGAACGAAAGTAATGAATTATAGCGTGTACATTTAGATATACTGGTTTTTTCCCGGGATATCAAAGGTATGACTTATATACATCGATGGAAAGGTGGCATTTCCCCCGTTACACTAGTTAAGGTGTTGAAATGTTAGAAATATAGAGCACGGAGAAAAAAAAAAAACACCGAAAAAAGTGCGTTTTTTCCTTGACCCTGCTTTTTATAATTTTATTGAAAAATGGACGACTTCGTCTAAAAAAGTAATTGCACAATCGAAAAGTAGACCTTCTTAGCTTTCAAATGATGTATCATAGAAACCAATCGGATCATGTATAAATTTTTAATTGATGGTTGTTCACAAAATTTCCCCGCGCTCCAAAAACAGCAAAAAATTGGGATTCAATAAACAAAGATTAAATGAAAATTAAAAAAAAAAGGGTATACAAATTTCAGGGATGAAAAAGGACCTTATGAGGACCCATAATCAAGAGAATTTTGAGTAAATTAGTGCAATACAAAAAAAATAGGAACAAATTCCTGGCGAGGTCAAAATTGACCGGGAGCAGAAAGTTTGACCCATGTTCCGATATGGCCAAAAGAGTCAAGCGTGACTCAATTCACAGGGTATGATAGCAGCAGAATTCCTCTTTCACATGAACTTTGAATCATGAGAAAATATGCATTTTCAACAAAGTTATTGAATAATTTGTCCCCCCGCCGATGTGTAAATACACGGACTGTGCTCTCCGGCATACAACAGAAGCTCATTATTCGAGGTGCGCTTCGTGCCGTTTTTCTCGAAACCGGGCAAATTTTCGAGAAAAATGATAGGATCATTTTTGCAGAAAATTAACTGAACTTCAATTTTTATCTGAACCGAAAATCTCTAACTGCCATATTTTAGGAGATATTGGCTGAAAACCTATTTTTCTGGTCTTTTGGGGCCATTTTCTCCGCCATCGCACGCGTTTTCCAGTCAAACTTTGTCTCAAGTTTAATGAGGTACCAAAAGCTACTTCCAACCGGAAGATGAAAATAGTGCGTAATTAATGTTAACTTTTTCCCTTTATTTATTGGACTATAAAGTCCATATAAAAAATTAGGAAAAATTCTTGGAAATCATCAGTGAATTCAAGCTCAGTGTGATAGAAGCTGACCATGCTTGATCAATTTTGTTCATGGGAATACCTTGAAGTTCTTTGAAATTTGTATTTAAAGAATTGCATGGATTTTTTTGAAATTCCTTGAAATCCATTGAAATTTCTTAAAAAGCATTTTCGAGAAATCTCCTTGATTTTTTTGCAAATACAATCTTGATGTGAAAGAAAAAACTGTTATTGTGTTTGCTAGACATTTTCTAGAATTCTTTTGTCAAATTCATGATTGGTGTGAATCAATTTATTCTTCAGATATATTTGAAATATTTCAGAATTTCTTGTAGTTTTTGGAATTAATTGGATATTTCTGAAATTCCTGGTTCCATTGCATTCTTTGAGGTTTTTTGAGTCTATTGAAATTTCTTGAATAAAAGTTCCTTAGAATGCAATTCCAAGAAATCTCTAAGAATTACTTTGTGAATTTGAGATTGATGTCAATTGATTTATACATCAGATATACTTGTAATTTTTTTAATCATTCCCATTTTTTGAAATGCTTGGAACTTTTTGAAAAGTATTTTTAAAGAATTCCCATGAATTCTTTTTGAATTCAAACTTTATGTGAAAAGTACTGTCCAAGATCAATTATTAATGTTTCCTTTGAAATTCCTGGGATTCTTTGAAATCTCTGAAATTCCTTGTTCAGGGCATGCCTACCTGATGCTCTAAGTAGTGTATTATTAGCTTCATCTATTCTATCCATTTCAGAATTGGAAAGAATAGCATTATGCTGTTTTGACCTATCTGGTGGTCTAGAAGCAATTCTTTGAGGTACATTTGGAATAGCCTGAAATTCATCATGAATTATCACATAAAATAGAACTTATTGTTATTTCAATCATTACCCCATCATCATCTGGTTCTTCACTGGTGAACATATGTGAAGGATTACTAACTTTCTGGAGCAATTCTATAGCCAGTCTTCTATGCATATCTCCTTGGAAAATAGCATGCTAAAAGGGAAGTATTGATGAAGATTTCATTACAGTTTTGGGAGATTTAAATACCTGTAAGAGTTTTTCAGCAGTGGGTCTTTTCTTTGGATTTTTTGTTAAAGCTACTTTGATAAAATTGTGGAATGTTGGACTCCTACAAAAATAAATGGTAAACAGTGGTGAAATGTCAAGAAAGACCATGTTTCTAATATAAATAATTAAGTTGAAGACTGTTGATAGTTTCTGTTTCCTTTCTTCAGCTATTTTCATATTTATTGAATCAAATAATGATGGCATTTATCCATGAAAGTATGTGAACATGTTTATCAATATTTCAACCAATTTCAATGAATCATCTGAATCACCAAAACATTCCTGAGAAATTTGATTACTCTCTTGATGAATTCATTTCTGGATTCTTGATCAGATAATTTAATCTTAAATCACTTCAGGTAATAATTGAAGTTCTACATAGATAACAAAGGAATAAAAATCAATAATATACATTTATGTTATCTATAAAAAATATCACAATGTCAATATAATTATGAAAAGGAACTTATACAACCACTCACCATTTTTCTTTGTCTTTCAATGTTGGAGGTTTAAAACCACTTTTGGACATCAAAAACAATGCCCTCATTGGATGCAAATCAAACATGGGTGGTTGCAACTCTGCTAGTTCAATTGCTGTGATACCAGTAGCCCAAATGTCACATAACTGGTTGTAACCACCCTTACGTTCAACTGCAGCAACCTAAAATAAAAATATTAGCTGAAAAGAACTACCATATGATTTTTTGTCATACCTCAGGTGCCATCCAATATGGTGTTCCTATGAATGACTTTCTCTTATTGATGGTAGCAGTTATCTGAGCAGAAACACCAAAATCAGCCAATTTGACATCACCACACTCAGTGAGGAGAATATTAGCACCTTTAATGTCCCTATGCATTTTCCCCATGGAATGAAGATACTGCAAACCAAGTAGTGTCTCTCTACACATGTAGGCTATTTGATTCTCAGTTAAAGGACCTGTGACTGAAATAAAACAAGGTGAACAAGTCTGTTTGAAGCATGAAGCTATTGACTTACTGTGATAAATGTCTTGAAGAGATCCACCTCCACAATATTCCATACAAATCCACAGTTTGTCTCTACGTAAATAACTACCATAATATGCTATTATATTTGGATGTCTACAGTCTCTCATCATAAGAATTTCTTGCTGGATGATACCAAAGTCATCTCCTGGATATCAGAAATTGTTTTGTTAAATTGTGCTTGACAATTTTGATGGGGTACTTACCAGGCTCTAGTTTTATTACTTTTATCGCTGCCAAGTCATTTGTTGAAAGTCTTTTAGCCTATAATAGAGTATTTCTAGTTAGTATGTTCATAATTAATTATTCTAACAGGGCACCTTGTAGACATCTCCATAAGTCCCACTCCCTATCCTCTGGATCAACTCGTAGTCGTCCTGTGGATTTCTTCTGGAAATATCCGAGCTCAATACCCCTTGAGCCATTTTATGGAAATTTGGCTGCTTACATCGTATGATTCGTATGCCTTGTAGTTTTAAAATAAAATAAAATGTTTACATGAATTTGACTTTGACAGCGAATGCCCTGAAGTCAGACATGTTTTTTCTCAGCAGTGCTGGCAACAGGATATCGGAAAAACGAAAGTCCCCAACCGAGAATGTTTATTTTGTGCACATTCAAGATTCAAGGTAAATGCACGAGGTGTATTTAAGCTAACTGTAAATTTCCGAAAAATTTATGCCAGGTAACTATTAACACCGTACCACACCATACTGTTAAGTTTTATTACGTGAGGTTAGGATTGCTTGCTTTTTTTCATGATCATCCCAAAAGTGGCAGTCGGCAGAAGTACTTTTATTCAAGTTGGCAGAAGACGAAGACGTTGATGAAGTTGAAACAAAAGAACGTGCTACCATAGTCGGAACTTCAGGCTGGTCCTAGGGTATAGATACATTCATAAAGGTATTTTCTAGGACACCACGATTGCTTCTATCTCAAGGATTTTCAAGTCGGGTAAGTAATTAGGCTATAATCTTAGATATAATAGAAGTGAAAAATATATTGGAAGTTGAATGAGAATCACAACTGTTGATAATGATGCATGAAGATATTGACTTCTAGGGTTCTAGGGTTGTGAAGTAATCATCATGATCTACAAGGGTAAAAGTGCACTTATCATGCGATGGCGTTTTTTTCGAAAATTTTTTTTGGTACTTACGTATTTTCGTCTGAAAAACACGAATTTCATAGTGAAAATGTGAACAAACCACTATTTATCGAGATATTTCAAGAAAAAGTTCGAAATTTTGCCTTCTTTTCTACCTTGTGTTGGATGCATTTACAGGTACTTGCTCTTATTCTTTTGTCATTGGACACTTTATATACTCATGATGTACTTCACTGATACATTTTAAGATAGAAAATTCAACAGGAAATATGATTTTCATGGCGAGTTTTTCCTATTTAGTGAGCAAGCATACCAGATGACGGCCATTTAATCCATATGCAATCCAAATACCAGATGTCAAATGTCAATAGATTGCTTTGAAAAGACATTACACACGCTATTATTTCAAATGATATTCTTCCTTCTTTTCACTAAACATGGATAAATCACAAGAAAATCATATTTCTAGTTGACTCATATAATAAAAAAAATGTGTCCAACATTGTGTGATATATATAAATTGTCCAATGATGGAAAAAAAAGGGCAAATTGTTCTAAATGTGATCCAGAAGACAGGCGGAAAAGATGGTGAAATTTGTAACTTTATAGTGAAATATCTTAATAAATAATGGTTTGTTCACATTTTCATTATAAAATTCGTGTTTTTCAGACGAAAATACATAAGTACCAACAAATTTTTCGAAAAAAACCCCATCGCATGATAAGTGCACTTTTACCTCTACAAGAAAGATGTATCACAATAAGACTCTCCTTTCCATTTATTTTTTCCGCAGTCGCCATCTTGAAATTTTCATCTGTTCAATTTCACTCCAAAATATAGTATTCATGCATCAATATCATTACCCCTTCCCAATGTTTTTCGTTGTCCCGTTCAAAAAATAAAGGGGGGGGGGATTCAAAAAAAGCTGATGAGTACCAACACTACCAACAGCTTGTCTTGCTTCAAACACCCCCTATATATTTCAGCTATTATTATAGTCATGCCATTCATACCAAAATTGGACTGGTGTATGAATTACCATCAATGTGATCAGTTTTACAATGTCAAAAATCATTTTGAACAGTGCCGTGCATTATTATTGTAATAAAAAATAAGGGATACCGATTTTTGTATGTGATCATATAAGAATTTTTTTCAGGAAAACCAACTACATATTATTGTTCCTCATGCCTTTGAACCTCCACATGCAAAAAATCACCTCATTGGGAATTAACAGGATTTGCTTTTTTTCATTTTATGCCTCGAAAAAATAGTGAATTCAAATTAATTGCAAATTGTGGGATGTTCAATAGCTCAGGTAGGTAGGAGATTATGCTTTGAGAAAAAACAAAGATACCTATACTTTTCTTTGTTGAACACCGTTTCCCAGTAAATAATTATTTAGGTAGCTTTCTCCCAAAAATGCTATTTAAATGTGCCAGTTTTTTTTTTAAATCCATCAAAGAAATCATATGAAAATTTACATATGCGAGTTTGAAACCAGGAAGGGCAATATTATGTCAGTTTTTCTGTAAAAAAATGCCTAATATTTCATAAAGAATTTACCCGTTTTCATTCCAATTATAACGCACGGCACTCTCCAAAATGATGTTTGTCTCAGAAAAATTGATCATATTGATGGTTATTCATACCGGTCCTAATTTGGTAAATATCACACTACTAATAGCTGAAATATAGATAGGGGGCCGTTTGAAGTGAGATTCATGATGAGAATCAAGACATTTTAGTGAATATACCTATTGGCGGATTTCAAGGTCATCATCTGACGTTACGATGACGTTTAGTTTGACAGTAATTGCTGCCAAGAAAAACCATGAAATGTCTGACCATTTCCAGGTGAAACATGATCAATTCAAAAGGATTTTATCAAAATCAGATGAATAATAGTGCTGTTCTATTATATAAGATGTGTCAGAATGTTAGTATTTCAAAATGAGACTTGCCACATCAGCTAAAAAAAACACGTATTTTGCTTAATAAATCTGTATTCATATTTACATAAAAATATATCACTTTCAGGTTAAGTATGTACAAATAAAAGATTAATAAAATATCAACATACTATGCATACAATTATAATACAATAACGATAATACAACAAAACCCAGCCAGCCTACACCTCATATCAGCTGTTATCCTTCAAGACATCTTTCAATATCGAACTGGAATTCCTATTGGTAGCAAAATCAGCGAAAGTAGGCAACACGATTTCGCTCAAAACAATCGGCGACTGCCTAGGCGTATCCCGCCTACTATTGGTCGCAGCCTCCGAACTACCAGAAGCACCGAGCAAATCAGGCACCGCTCTAGGCTTCGACTCGTTCTCCAAAAACCTAACGAAAGCCTGCGACAAAGACTCCGCTGATAGCCTATTATGCTGGCTGCTGTCAGGTGCCAAAAAGGAGCCTAACCACGAACCGGTGTGGGCTTTATTCAGGCCAACTTTGTCGTGTTCTTGTTGGTTGAAGTCGAGGACAGTGGCGATGATCTTCAGGATTTGTGTTTGGTCTTTGTTCAGGTTGCTGTTGGAGGTGACGAAACCGATAATCAGGTTTTTGACTAGGGATTTGTCGACTTTCTCGTTGGTTTGGGTGGAGGCGGATTTCAGGTCCTCGTCTGCTTTGGATAGTTTGGATTGTAGCAGAGATACTGTGGAAATCGATAAGGTCGTTAATTACGTTTTGAAAATAGTAGCCGATAAAATGGATCGAAGAATTCAATAACAACCAGACATATTTGTTTTACTGGGTATAACAAGTTATCTTGAAGATTTATCCACGCTGCTATAGCTGGATTAAATAAATTACCACATAATATAAAAAATTGCAGACATATTTCGAAATTTCAAATTGCACTTAAAAACACATGAGTTCATTGTGAAATAGATATAATTGATACTTTGCAATCTACTGATTGATGCCTGTTGCTATTTTTTTAGCATTTTATAGATTTTTTTTGTTACCTCATGTTATTATTTTTCATTATTATTGTTAGTAATCAGCTTCCTCATGCCAGAATTTTATTTCTGAGTGGAAGATATTTTCTCAATAAACAAAAATCTTGACGAAGAGTGTTGGTGAAATTTGATGAAATAAACATGGATGCCATGCTTGTTCCAGCGAGTTGTGTACAATAATTTTCATGTTTTTATTATTTTTCTTCAACTTATATGTCACTTGAAATTGTTGAAAATGGATCATTTCAAAAGTTTTTTCTTGAGAAGAGAGGAGAAGAATAAGATAGGTACAGGGTGATTCACCATAAATGTCTTCCCCCTGTAGCTCAGTTATCTTTGAACCGATTGCAAAATTTTTAATATCATCTGAAATGATTTTCGATTGAGTTTTTTTCCGCTACATCAGAAAATACAAGGTGCTCGGAACGAACGATCTACTGGATACTATTTGATTTTTTTAAATGGAACACCCTTTATTTCATTGTGTTTTTAGATTCTCCCTGAAGATCAATGTATCACACTTGGGGTCTAGCGAAAATGATTACAGAGAAATAGGGCGTTCAAAATCGAGATTTTTCAACTTTAGGTTTTTTTGTGACGAAACTATTCATTATCTGTCAAAACGGCTAACATAAAATTGACTACTAAAGGGATCCATATGATTCATAAGGTTTTTTTCAGCAATATTTTGATGTGATTTAGAAGTCAATTCAAAATCACACAAGGCTCAATTTGTGAATATCACATATATTGAACAAGTATAAAACAAAAATAGTAATGAGACATTTTCTTATGAATTCTTCTTTCTAGAATGGGATAGAATCGAGAAAAACAAAAGATAGGGAAACATTTACTACTGTATCACCGACATAAACACTAATGTTTTATCCTTAAGAAAATAATACTTTTTTTTATTTAATTAATGTTGTTAGATACTTAGCAATAATAAAGTTGATGTGTAGATAAGGAATGGAATAACAACAAAAAACAATGGGGAAGACCACTGAGAGAAGAAATCCGTGCAAACCTCTTTCAATCGACGAATTATGATTCACGTTTGATGTACAATCAATATTATGAGTTGAAGTTGAAGGAAATCGAATTTATATCGTTTTGAAATCAGCATATTTCATTCGATATTTCAAACAGCCAAATATGATGGTGGAGCCGTGACGTATTAGTCCCCAGCTGTAGCTATCTTTCTCTGATACCTCGTCATTCTGCAGTGTTGCAGTGTGATTGGTGAGTTCAAGGACAATAGGCGTGTTGGGACTAAGACGTCGCACCAGTCTCACCAATGAATTGACAAAATCTCAAATAGCACAGGAATTGTGTGTTTTGAAATGGACATATTCTAATTTATATTTTTCACCGTCTTAGCATGGATGACGAAATTGAAAATTAATTCGCTGGTAGTTTTTCATTATAGAGTTCACGATAATGTCGTTTTAAAAAATCAGTGGTCTCCCCCCATCTCTGTAAATAATTAACAAAAACGGAACAATGAAACCTAAAATATAAAATATCAATATCATACAAACTTTTCGTTGCTAAAAAAAAGCAGAAAGTAAGTGTTACCCAGGGACTGGCAATGCAAAATTCTACCAGTACCTGATGTAATACTCAGTCTCTACTCTTTCTGATGCAATGCATGCTCCATGCTTCAGGAACTCAAAAAAAACTGTAAAAAAATAATGGTTAACTCAAATAACAAATCCAACTCGAATATAATTCAAAGACCATATCCCAATGCATTGTATGTACAAAAGTTGAATAATGCTAAAACTCTTATTTTCTGTGAAACGTTTGAGGTTGTAGTCATTTTTTTATAATAGGTCGCGTGCACGAAGACCAACCCTGGAGGCAAAATATTGAAACACAACCTCATTCTTCTGTGAATTATTGAAACACAACCTCACATTTTCATTTGGTTACAGAGGAATCAAAAGGTTGAAATAGTTTTTCACAATATTTTGGCATACGAATCGTGTTTCTTGCGTTATTCATTAATTCAAGCATGCTTTCGCATTGTGCTGTTGTACAATGCACAAAAAATGCAGCAAGAAGCTAGGGAATATAATTTTTCAGGTAAATAGTAATCTCACATAGTTATCATTATGAAATGTTGTCATTCCTTATTAAAATTCCTTCTGCCTTCTGCCACTTCTGCAATACAAGCTAATGCTGCTAATAGATTGAAAATGTCTACAACACACTCGATCGTCAGCATGTCAGACCAGTCCTCCCAATTGATTGCATGAATCCGATTTCTTGCATTATTCTAGCAATTTCAGGTATATTTTTATCAGCTCCTATTGCAGAAGGAATTCCGATAAGAAATCAGAGAAATAACCAAATTTCAAAAATGAAAACTAATATGTGAGTGACTATAGTAGGTACTTACTTTCAAATCATAATATACCATCCGCATTGCTTCATCTTCCGCTGCAGTTTTTGTGCATTTTACAACAGCACAATGTGATGGCATGAGCGAATTGATGAATAGCGTAAAAATACGATTCATATGCCAAAATAATTGTGGAAAACTATTTCGATCACTTGTAAACAAATAAGAAAAGTGACGTTTTGTTTCAATGTTTTGCCTCCAGTGTCGGTCATCTGACAGTTCTTGCACGCAACCCATTTCTCATAACCTCAAAAGCTCTCAAAAATGAATGCTTCAAAATAATCATCACTGTAATGGGACCAATGGGACATGATCGAATTTGTCAGGCATTAAAAATGAAACGACGACGACACGAAACAAAATATCTAAGCAAAAAACAGTAAACATACAAACGGTTGACGCAAATTAAAAAAAAAACGGGTGAGTCAAACACTACATTTTGTATATCTCATTCAGTACCTGGGGAACGAAATAACCTCACAGTTACCAAATGAGATTAAAAAAACGTAGGTGAAGCGTGCAAATACGGTGCATTTTCAAAACAGAATCGTGCATGGTAGAGTGCTGAAAAAATATGTGATTCATAGACTATACAAGGTGGTCCAACTGTAACTCTGTGGGATCAAAACATGGCGCAGGAGACATGTAGCAGCCTGTAGTTTTTTTATTTGAAGAGATGAAATTTTGAAATTCACAGGGGGCATATAATAAATGGAAGCGCACTTTACGAACTTAACGACAATTTTTTTCAACCACCTGTTTGACCGGAAGTGACCCCAACTTTTTTTTTTACAATGTAACCCTATACATTTCTTCAGTCTATCTTTTTCGCCTTGAAATTCTCTATCCAACCATGTATTACAAAGTGGCATTGATTTCTTAATTCGCTGTTGAATTGCTTTTTATTCAAAAAGAATAAGTTGGCTGTGACATGAATTCGATGATATATCGACACTTGGTAGGCTTTGAAATTTAAAGATCATCAGTAAACCGATATTATTCAAAATGTTTTGATATTCTGATCAATGTCTGCAATGTCAATAGAGACGGAAAATGTATTCAAGAAACGAAAAAGTCGATATGTTGTTAATATGCAATTTTAATCAACACACAAATGAAGAAGAAAAATTATTGATGCAATCGATTAACTGTCGAACACATAAAACATTTTGTGTAGGTACACCGCCTACTAAGTGAAATAATTATGAAAAAATAGACTGATAGCCCTGTGGATCATCGTATAAGAGGAACAATTTTAGTTTTATTATTCCAAATGGGGAGATCATGTGATAGGTACATGGCGAAGATAAATGACAGATAGTTTCTGTACGAGTAGCTGAATTCGAAAAAATATGTTCCTATCTTAGATTCCTCAATATCATGAGTTATTTTCGAAGGTTTTTATCTTGACTCAAACAAGCTATTGACAACCTGCAGACATTGAGCAGAATATCAAAACATCTTGAATAATATCGGTTTACTAATGATCTTTAAATTTCAAAGCCTACCAAGTGTCGATATATCATCGAATTCATGTCACAGCCAACTTATTCTTATTGAATAAAAAGCAATTCAACAGCGCGAATTAAAAAATAAATGCCACTTTGTGATACATGGTTGGATAGGGGATTTCAAGGCGAAAAAGATATACTGAAGAAATGTACAGGGTGACATTAAAAAAAAAAAAGTTGGGGTCACCGCCGGTCAAACAGATAGTTGAAAAAAACTGTCGTTAAGTTCGTAAAGTGCGCTACCATTTATTATATACCCCCTGTGAATTTCAAAATTTTATCTCTTCAAATAAGAAAACTACAGGCTGCTACATGTGTCCTGTGTCACCCGGTATATTATGTTCGATTGGAAATTAGGAAGTTGGTACCACTGCCTGTTCAGGAGGTCAACGCCAAAGTTATAAAATATCACAAAATATGTCCACCTTGTATAATACAATGATAATAAAAACTACATTTCTGAAAAAAATGTTTTCAGCGAATAATGTTCATGAATTGAGCAGAAATACAATCGAGACCTGGAAGGTCAATAGATAATATGGATGGATTGAGAAGATGTGTTTATTTCTAAACTTCTCCTAAGCATTTGAAATTCACATAAAACAAAAAAATTGAAGTGCGATGATATAAGCTGACCACAATTATTAGAGATGTAATCATTACCCATAAAAATATTTTCAAATTCAAATGCCTTCAGCAGTTTATTACCTCTAAGATAAAAATGAATCGCCTGTAACATATATTGTGTTAACTATTTTCACAGAAGCTAAGACGA